GAAGCCCGAGGCAGAGCTGCTCTGCCCCGGGCTTCCTGGAATCAGCCGCTGATCAGTTTCAGCAATGGCTGACTTGGGGACACCTGGGGTACAATATGTACCAGTTCCGACTTACGTACAAATTCAACTTAAGAACAAACCTACAATCCCTAGCTTGTGTGTAACCCGGGGATTGCCTGTACTTTAATACTTAGTTTGAGGAAGCCCGAGGCAGAGCTGCTCTGCCCCGGGCTTCCTGGAATCAGCCGCTGATCAGTTTCAGCAATGGCTGACTTGGGGACACCTGGGGTACAATATGTACCAGTTCCGACTTACGTACAAATTCAACTTAAGAACAAACCTACAATCCCTAGCTTGTGTGTAACCCGGGGATTGCCTGTACTTTAATACTTAGTTTGAGGAAGGAGACTGCCTTAATCCAAACTTAGTACGAACTGTTACCTAAAGAAAATATGTAGTACATTGACACTACAAAACCCACTATAAACCCTACAGACCTTAATTTTGCTACTAAATGGTTTTATCCATCCTTCTTTTAGAAAGCAATAATGAACACTTTTTATGGGTCATAAGACTACACTTTCACTCAGCCTATGAGATTTGCTCTTTGTATATTTAGAAAAGAAAAAAGCATCCCACTAAGTGATTTTCAAGATTTTACTTTGGCCTAAGCTACTGCATGTCCACCTTTTCAGAGGACAGTCTCAGAAAAAAAAAATCTTTTCAAAGAAAGGGAAGAGAAGAAAGTGATTAGCAAAAACCCAAACAAACAAACAAACAAAAAAAAACTGAGTCAGAAAACCAATGTTAAACAGGAAACTAGGATAACTGCCCCCCTAAATACTGATGTTTAGAAAACAAAGAAAGACCTGTACCAAAGAGAAATTCCTGGTAATGGAAAAAAACATTTTCTTCTCTACTGGTTATGGAATGGTGGGACTCTTTCTAAACTGTAGACATATAAGCAACACAAATGTTATCCTTAGAAGTAGAAAACATCAACGTTCATGCAGTCTTTAAGTGATTTCTGATGATCAATGTGCTATCCAGTCCAAATTTCTGAGTACCTAGTAGGTGTCAGGCGACTGTTCCCACACAGGCCACAAGAAAAATCTTTTTGTTGCGGTTTTTGCCTCTAAATACTCTTTTGTTTATAAAGATACCACTCTTGCATAAGTAATGTATTAAATATTGACTGAACCATATCCCTGTGGGGCAGAGGACTTTCCTTACAAGCCAAGTAGAGAATGCAGACATTTTATTTCAGGCTCACAGCTCTTTCAGAATATTCAGCTTATTTTTGGTTTAGTTACCATTCAAACGGCATATTATATGCCGAAAAAGAAGAAGAAAAAGTCTTGAGAAAACTCCTGGAGCTAATTTGGGTTAAGACCTTAACAAGGCTAGATGAGACCATCAAATCCCATTAAGTCTTTGAGATGGGTCACTGAGTTACTTGCACATTTTCATTTGTGCCAAAAAAATAAAGACACATTCTCCGAGACGGCCAAGTATGCTAAACTTCCAGTTTGCCACTTGCCTCAGAACAGAAGGCATTAAGGAATCAAGATGCTATTCTCTATCATACAATTAATGAAAGAAATTTAATCAAATAAAACAAATAATAGCTTGAATCACTTTCTGCTTCAGGGGAAAAAAAAAACAACCATCATTTTTGTGCCCTTGATGAAAGTGGGAGGCAGCAGAGGAAGACTTCATGTTAGTAATGCCACTTCTGCTGGCATTGGAAACAACCAAACTCTCACCTTTCCACTTTTTATACTCGTGTGCTTTTCAATGGGTCTCTATTTTGTGCTCTCCTGAAACAGTGGCTGAGCCATTTTTTACTGATCTTTTTGTAGTTTCGAAAAGATCTAAAGCCCCTGAGAATTTCACTGAGCAAATCATCTTTTGTAGAAGTGACAAGACCATACTGACTAGCTTTGTAATGAAGTCTTAAAAGGTGGTAAGATTTAGGTAAATACAGATGCTCTCCTACAACAAACAACAACAACAATAAAAAATAAACCCACTGATGCCATTTTTGGTTTATTGTTCCAAATGATCCTCTCGTAAAAGGACTATACCCAAATTTGAGTGGTGTTGGGGGAAGAGACTCAAGAAGCTGTGTTTTGAACAAACTCTGAAGAGAGCCCTCAACTTGGAAGAACAATATCCTCAGTAGTCTGATTGAATGCTTTTGTACACTAGGGAATTCTCCCTCAAACACACATCTCACCTAATGTTAAAAGGATAATTCCTTCCAATGCTCTGAAGCTGAAAAGAACCCCCCCCCCCCCCCAAACCACACTGTAAATCTGGATTTAATAACCACACTTAGCGGAGCCTTTTCAGACCATGCCAGATGAAGAATCCTAAATTGAAGCAGCCTCTAATGTTAGTTTAGGACTTATTGCTTGTTTTCTGCTTCACCTTTCCATTGTCTGATTAATTTACTCAGTAAGGTCAAAACTACAAAGCACATCTACCAACTACATTGCATGAAACACTGTATACCAAACAGTTTGCATACACCTTTAGTTGCAATGGCAGTATCTCATCTTGTTTTACCTTTCAATTAGTCCTCAACTTTACTTGTTGGACTAAATGGCTTCAGCAGTTTTATGGTCATTTAAACAAATAACATAGCTCCCCTCACAAGAGGCATCCATAAATTTGAGGACTACAGATAGAACAGAAATTCATGAGTATTTATCTTCTAAGTCTGTTTCTATGAAGATATGCAGGAGTCTCAGCGTTGGGTCTCCAGTATAAATTATGAGGGAAAATACCCCAGTTCTTAAGATTTTTGGTCCTCTGAGGTACTTTGTAGACACTGCCCTACTGATTATGCTTTGATATCCTGGGGACCCCAGGACATTCCAGCCAGTTCCTTTTAAGAAAAGGAAGCAACCTAAGCTACAAACCGATACAAGTAATTTACTCAGATACCTTATATTATATATCTCAAATAATACCAAAGAAGTCAACCTGAAAGGAAATGGAGGGCAAATGCACAACTTCACGTCAATATTTAAAAATTCAAATTCAAAGGAGATGTGGGTAACTAGTTCAATTAGAAGTGTGCAAAATATCTTCAGAGAAGCAACATAATTTTCCCTTTCCAAAGATACTATCGACATAAGATTTTCACTTTTGAGAGAGTAAACAGCTTGAGGGACGACTGTATACTCGTGAAGTACATATTGTAATAGGGAAAGCAAAGGTACTGCAAGACTATTTGTTGTTTACGTTTTTCCAGTCAGACTAACACGGTTACACCTCTGAAACAGGAAAATCAAGTAAGCAAGCGAGAAAGCGACTGTAAAAAAGCCAAAATGAAATCCAATTTGCTACAATAAGGACAAGCACAATAAGCAAAGAGTTTGGGCTTTTCAGAATACAAAAAAAACCCAACAGAGACAAACAGTAGTTCCAACCTCAAGATCAAATCCAAGAGAAAGTACTTGACAATGTATGGACATATGTAGAGCAGCCACATGATCCTATGTCCATGACTGAAAATCTTCCTAAAACAGACAATGGGAAATGTCTTGTTTAGGACTGAAATCAATTAAAATGTCAGTTTTTAAACATGTTGCTCTAACAGCAGCATTATTGAGGAAATAAGTAAAAAACCCCAGGAAACTGATTGCATTTTCCAAAGCTTTTCATCTACTACAAGAGCCATCCACAGGGTCTTTTAAGGTAAGGGCTTGGAGAAGGTCCACTTCTCTGGGATGGGGACGCAGGTTTTTGGGAAAAATTAAATAGAAAAAAAGACACCCATAGGTGAAGTCTCACAAAAATAAAACACAACCTATCAGAAGTAGGAAATGTTGGATGAGTCCATAACAGCAATCTTTACTGTAAAACCTGATATAAAGGTGAATCCCTAGTGCATGAAGCATATTAACTCTAGTAAAGGAGCTGAAGTCACTTCCATCTGGAAAATAATATTGTACACAAGGCACCTTAGAAACACAGAGTTGATCAAAGAGGCCTTCAACAGTTCAGTCTCAAACATAAAAGTGACTTTTAATGCTGAATTTGAAGCATCAAGATCAGATGATTATCTTATGATAGACTAACATAGTGCCAAATTAAACTATGATGAGTACAGGAAATATTACAAGAAGAAAAGCTATTTAAA